GTTGACAACATTGACGAATATGATCGACTTGTTAAGCACCTCCATGATTGTGCGAAGTACGCCGAGAGAGAGATAGCCACAAAAAGACGCCTGTCTTCGAAAATTCTTGAGCTCATTCGCCAACATGGCTTGGTGCAAGCCTCAGGCAACCGCAAGCGAATGTCCGAGCTTGGAAAGCAGTGCAGAGAAGCAATAAAGGAAGACCTCAACGAGAGAAAAGCAGTAGTGCTGGCAGATGTGGCAGAAGCTGGGAAAAGCATTCACAACGCCTGCCTATCTTTCACCAACTAAAAGACCAAGATGACTGCCCTCCGACATACTGATGGATCTATCAATCTTCCGGAAGGGCAGTGGAGAAGATTATCCATGACTTCTACTCAGATCTCTTCGATAGCCATGTCCACCTGCCCACACACCAAATTCCGCAGGATGGATATGTCGTTCCCAACGTTCTCCCTTCCAAAATCCAACCACCATTTCGTCGGTAAAGAAGTGAACAGCACCCAGCCCAGGCAAGGTCAGACCCGAACACCTGAAGAACCTGCCGGCAGTACTCATCAATACACTGGCTCGGCTCTTCACACGCTACCTGTCTGAATGCAAGGTTCTGTCCCAGTGAAAAACCAGCAGGACTGTCCTGTTGTACAAGAAGGGAGACATCCACGACATTGGCAATTACCACCCAATCTGCCTGTTGTCTGTCGTCTACATGCTGTTCACTCGAGTCATCCTGAATAGGATTGGCAGAACACTAGATAAAGGAAAACCATGCGAGCAAGCCAGGTTCTGAAAAGGATTCAGCACAACTGACCATATCCACATGGTAACCAAGGTCATTGAGGTTTCTCGGGAGTTCAAGATGCCATTCTGTCTAACATTCATTAATTTTTAAAAAAGCCTTTGATTCTGCTGAGACTGAAGCGGTCATCGAGACCCTAGCCAAACAGGGCATTCAAACTCAATACATCAGAATCCTCTGTGAGCTGTATTGTGGATTCACTACCAGGATCTCACCATTCTACAGGGAAGTGATCACTGACGTCAAGAGAGGGGTTCGCCAGGGTGATACCATTTCACCGAAACTCTTCAGTGCCACCCTCAAGAACGTCATGCGACGACTGGAATGGGAAGGAATGGGAGTGAAGATAGACGGTCGGCAACTACACCACCTCTGTTTCGCTGATGACATCGTTCTTATAATACCAAACATCAGCCAAGTGGCACAAATGCTGGCCGACTTCGACCACGAGTGTGGAAAGGTCGGACTACAGATAAATCTCACAAAGACAATGTTTATGAGAAACAGTCTTGTTCATGACATTCCATTCACTCTCAACGGGATAAACATCTCCAAATGCAACAGTTATGTGTACCTGGGTCGAGAAGTCAAATGACCTGGCACCTGAGTTACACAGGAGGAAGGGAGTGGCTTGGAATACCTTCAAAAACGTCAAAGAAATAGCTAAGGGGATGAAGAACCTCCGGCTCTGGACACATGTCTTCAATTCCACTTCCTGCATTAACATACATCTCAGAGACCTGGGCCCTACGAAAACAGGATGAGAACGCTATTCGGGTCTCCCAAAGAGGAATTGAAAGAGCTATGCTGGGAGTATCACACTTCACTCAAATGAGAGACAGAATCTGGAGTTCTGACCTCCATCAACAGTCAAGAATCAGAGACACTGTCTTGTTTGCCAAGCCATTGAAAATCAGATGGGCTGGACACATAATGGGATTTGGAGATGACCACTGGACTAGAGCCATTACCAACTGGATTCCACAGGACGTCAAAAGCTCGTGTGGCCGCCCACCTATGAGATGGTCAGGCTTCTTCGTCAAGACCCTGAATGATCGGTTTGAGGTTGTTCGTGTTCCTAGAATGAGAAGATGCCATTGGGCTACACTAGCATGTGACAGGGACTAATGGAGACATTACTGGAGCCAGCTCGAGCAAATGGATGAGTAACAGGATGTCAAGTGATCAAGTGATATTCCATAAATGGGTGAAGTCATTCTGTGTCTGTCCTGCTCTTTCTGACTCATTTCACTTAGCATGATACTCTCCTTGATGATCCACTTATATGCAGATTTCATGGTTTTATCTTTTCTAATAGCTGCATAGTATTCCATTGTGTAGATACACCAAAGTTTCTTTAACAAGTCATCTGTTCTTGGGCACTCGGTTTTTTCCAGATTCTGGCTATTGTAAATAGTGCTGCAATGAACATATAAGTGCAGATGTCATTTCTACTGTGCTTTTTTGCATCTCCAGGATATATTCCCCGAAGTGGTATTTCTCTGTCAAATAGGAGCTCAATTTCTAGTTTTTTGTTTTCTCCGAAATCTTAACCCTATAAGTGTTCTTAACTTTATCTCTCAAGTAGATTCCATCTTACTTTTTGCCTAGTCTTTCCAATTCTTTATGAAGTGAGTGCCTGTGTTATATAGTCTGATGGTAATAGAAGCAGAACAGTCATGTCCCATTGGTTTGTCAGGAAGATTCTTGGGAATTGCCACTAAACTCTGTTGCTTACATCTTCTTGATATAACCATGTGACTCACATAGCTAGGAAATATAGTCTTTATTCTGAGGAACTATAATAATCCTAGGTGGGGGTGGGAGAGATAATACATAGGTTAAGGTACCTGCCTTGCACGTGGTTGACCTTGGTTTTATCAGTGGCAGATATATGGTTCCCTGAGCACTGCCAGGAGTGACTCCAGAGAAGAGTCAGGAGTAAGCCTTGAACACATTCAGGTATACGAACAAACAATAAAACACTGTCCTCCCATTGTTCATTGATCTGCTTGAGCGGGCCCAGTAACATCTCCATTTTGAGGCTTGTTGTTACTGTGTTTGGCATATTGAATACATCACAGGTAGCTTGCCAGGCTTTGCCGTGCAGCCGAGATACTCTCAGTAGCTTGCCAGGCTCTCTGAGAGGGGCGGATGGCCCTCCTAAAAGTAACCTTGGCTGAAAATCATGGATGCTATGACTATTGGGAAGAACAAGACCTAAAGGCTATAGTATTGTTGTCGTAATTGCTGTCTACATGATCAGGTTTCTGAAACTTTCCAAGCCTCAAGTTATTCATCTGTCAGATGGAGATAAAGGCAAAATAATTAGTGCATCTCAAAAGAGATATAAACAATGTGGTTTTAGGAGGGAGGCTGGGGAGTTTGAGACACACCCAGCAATGCTTCGGGCTTTCTCTTGGCTCTGAGCTCAGGGATCATTCCTGGCATCTCCCTGGGGACCATATGCAGTGCCGGAGCTCAAACCTGGGCCAGCCTCATGCAAGCATCTTATCCCATTGTGTAATATCTCTGGCTAAATTGACTTTTTTGTTTGTTTTGTTTTTGGATCACCCCCCAAGGCTTACTCCCAGCTCTGTGCTCCAGGATCATTCCTGTAGGTGCTTAGGGTACCATATGGGGTACTAGGGATCAAATTCAGGTCAGTAATATGCAAGGCAAGAGCTTTACCCATTATACTATCTCTCCTGCCCCACCAATGTTTTTTATTTTTATTATTGGCTGGGAATTGTTTATTTATATTCATGCTCTTGGTCTTCCCAACAGCTTTATGAAGCCAGTATTTATTCTCATTATAATGAGAACACTGAGGCCCAAGTAGGTTAAAGAAATCGCACCAGATGACCTGGCTAGATAGAGATTTGAACCCAGATTCTTTACCACTACATGATCTCACACGGACAATGAGTTTTGAGAATCATTGCTTTATTTTACCACATCATTTTGGTGATTAAAATAGAGACACAGAAGGAGTAAAGTTACTCACAAGCATGCTGATACTGAGCTCTGGCAAGACTACCCAGAACTAAAGAGTGGAATTTAAAGATGTTCTTATATATCCAATATTCTGAGAAAGAATGATGGTATCTGGGGTACCCGGGGAGGTGGGCGGGGGTGGGGGGGTCAGTCCCACCACCTACCCAAACAGAGGCCTGTTGGACGATCTCCATAAGCTTGGAAGAGACTCATCCATGAATGAATCTGTTGAAAACCTTAGGTTTTCTGACCGAAGCCCATAGGCTCTCATGGAGTCGGGGATGGGTAATCTCTCCCCATCCCCTTGTTCTTCTGGGAGCCTGGCAGTCATGCCCATGAACTGCTTCTGGTGCCACCATTAACTGGCCATGATCCAGAGACTCAGAAGTAAACCACAAAAGATATCAGACCCCAAAGTCACCATCCAGCTGTATCATCTCATTCAAAATTTTAGAATTCCTGGAATTTTGAACATCTCATACTCTATATCACTGACATACTAGGAGTAGCACACCTTGGATAGAATGTAAGGTAGAGAGCAACCGATCTCAATTAAAAGAATATTAGCACACAAGTTTCAAACTGGAATAACATGTTAATAAACTCTTATACAAGGGCTCAATGGCTCCAGGTGAGATACAACAATCTTTACACACTCATCTAAGGAAACCTTTTTTGATCATCTTTAGAGAATTATTCACAACAAGCAATACAAAATAAATTATTTAGCACCTGCTATTGGGGCAGACTTAGGTGGTGGTTGGGAAAACTCAAAATAATGGTGTGGGAAGATGTTTGAATATTGAATGTAATAAATTATTGTGAACAACCTCATAAAGTAAAATTAACTTTTAAGAAAGAGAAAGAATGATGAGAGATGGAATCAAAACACAATTCTATTTGGGATTTAACTTGACCTTTTAGACCTAATCAGGGTTAGGATAGTCAGGATCTTCCCTGAGTGACATTTTGTTTGATTTGGGGCCATTTATGTTCGTGCTTAGGACTTACCCCTGGCTCTGCTTTTTTTTTTTTTTTTTTTTTTACAGATCTACACAATTTATTATGTTGAGATCACACAGGAGCTATTTTATCCCCATGAGGTTCACATGAACTTTTTCAAATAAGAAACAAATGGCATGTTCAAACTATAAGGAAATATCCTGATACCCATGTGATGAAGACTGGGTAAATGAGTCTGCACATTTATTTCAGGCTGTTGAAGAGTTTGTGGACCACACAGTGGTCCCGTACATGCAAGAAGTCAAAGAGCTCCTCAGGGCAATCCTCCTCTGTTTGTGTCTTGGATGATACACGCTGATCACACGTCTCTAATAGCTCCTGAGCCTTTACACATTTCTCCAGTTGCTCACACTGTTTTTTCACTTTTGTTAGGGGCTCCACCAATTCCTCCTCTTCTTCTTGCTCCTGTGGGTCTCCGGACCCCGTGAACATCTTGCGCTCATCCTCCAGTCCCATGTTCGGTGTTGGTTCCCTGAAAGGGAACACTATGGGCAATGCCCAGGGGACCATATGTGGTGCTGGGAATTGAACCCAGGTCGGCTGTATGCAAGGTAAGTGCCCTGTAATCTGTATTATACATAGCTCAGGCTTCACCTGGGTGAAAATTCTAACAGTTACCATGGCTTCTCTGCTACTGGAAGCACTAGCAAAAATGAAATTTTCAAAAGAGGCAAAACTATTACTCTTAAGCAAAGATGAAATGAATTCATACTCTGCTGAGAATCTCCGGGTCATTTCTTTTTAAAAATGCTTTGTTATCAGTAATTGTTGCTGGTCATTTTGTGGACTCAGTTGGAATCAGATGTGTACTAAACGTCTTTATGAGGAGGCGGGGGAGAGTTCAGTGGGTAAGGTGCTTTCCTTGCACGTGGTTGACCTGGTTGATACCCTGCATCTCATCTGCTTCTCCAGGAGTGATTACTGAGCCAGAGCCAGGAGTAAATGCTGAGCACAGCTGGGCGTGACCCCCAAAACCAAAAAAACAAAGTCTTTAGGAGCTTGTTTTAGGAAGGAAGCCAGGCTGGCCCTGCTGGGAACTCCAAGGGGGCCCAGGCAAGAGACTCACGTCCAGGCAGCAACTCCCCAGGGCTTTTCGTGTTGTTTCAACTCATGTCTCTGCTCCATTCTGTTTGTCAGCAGGCACATGGCTAGTCTTGAGTTTGTGTGTGTTCCACCAAGAACTCCTTTTCTGACCAGTCTCCTAGGTTAGCTCAGATTTTTGGCTGGGGCTATCTGATTGGCTACTCTCCAGTCAGGCTTGAGTGCCCTTTGAAAGTCAGATGATCACCCTGGGTCAGTCAGCTGCAGTTACTGGGAGGGAAAAGGGACGGAAGAATTTCAAGTGGGGGAACACAAGAAAGCATGCATTTTAAAATAGTTTCCAGTGTCATTCCTGTTAACCCCCCAGAGTCTGGCTGTTACTTTTAGGCCGGACACATTTGTTTGTTTTCCAGTGGTGTCTAAGGAGAGGCTACAGTTCTAACTTTCTACTAATGTTTCCACTTATATGTGGGGAGATCTTCTGTAAGGGCCACAGTCACTGTCACTGCCCTCCCATTGTTCATTGATTTGCTCTAGCGGGTCCAGTAACATTGTGAGACTTGTTGTTACTGTGTTCGGCATATCCATATCTCTCTGGTAGCTTTCCAGGCTTTGCCATGGGGGCGAGATACTCTTGCCAGGCTCTCCAAGAGAAGGGCCATAGAACAACTAGAAACAGGGCCTTGTGCTCAGAAAAGTGAATCTTTTCAATCTTGCAGGACTGGTCAAGGGGACATGGAAGCGTGGAGAAGTGGAGTGGCAGAAAGGACATGTTGGTGGGATCCCACACTTTTTGGTTCACTGTTTCTTTTCTTTGTTTTCTGGTCCACACCCGGTGGGGTTCCAGGCTTACTTGACTGTGCTCAGAGCTTTGCCCAGTGCAAGGCAAGCGCCTTAAACCCTTTACTGTCATTCCTCGGGCCCTTTATTTTCTTGCTTTAACGAGCTGGTTCCTCTCTTCCATGGGCCCCAAGTCAAGGGCCTGGGGAGTCAGCTCGTCGCCCAGCTGCCATCATACTCTGAGAACCAGTGGCAGGTGGGTTGGCGGCAGCGAGAGCCCAATTCCAGTAAGAGCCCAGCTCCTCATCGTGTGCCAAAGTGCCCGGGGGGCAGCGCCCGGGAAACGCGGCTTCCGGGCCCGCGTTGGCGCTCAGGCCGCAGGTGCGGCGAGGGGCGTCCCCGGGGCGCGGGGCGCAGGGGCGGCCGGGCCGGGGCGAGGGCCCGGAGCGCTGCTCCTTCCCGGGCGGAGGGCGGCGCGAGGGAGGGAGCGAGGGAAGGGAAAGGCGAGCGGGAGCTGCCTCGAATGCCTGGAATAATTCCGCTTCCGTTTGGAAAGCCGCAGCCTCAGTCCCGCCGCGCCCGCCCAGCTGCACTCGGCGTCTGACCGGCCCGCGGCCGCCCGGCTCCCCGCAGCGCCATGGCCACCTCCCCGCAGAAGTCGCCGTCCGTGCCCAAGTCCCCCACGCCCAAGTCGCCCCCGTCCCGCAAGAAAGATGACTCCTTCTTGGGGAAACTCGGAGGGACGCTGGCGCGGAGGAAGAAAGCCAAGGAGGGTGAGTACCGCCGCCGGGCCGGGGCCGGGGCCGGGCGGCGGGGGCGCGCGCGCGGCGGGTGCCCGGCGCGGCGGGGGCGCGCGGCGGCGGCGGCGCGCGCTTCCCGGGCACGTTGAGCGGGGGCTCTGCGCGCGCGTGGGCTGGGGGGCACCGGGCTGGGGTGTGTGTGTGTGTATGGTGGTGGGGTGTGTGTGTGTGTGGGGGGGGGGATTGAGAGTCGGGCGGGGCCGAGCGGCGCCGCGTGGTCCGAGGGCCGAGGAGGCGGCGCCCTCCCGTAGGCCCCTTGCCCTCGCCCTCTGCGCCCCCGGAGGCTGGCGTTGCTCTCGTGGCCGCAGCCCCTTTGCAGGGCATCGGGCTCACTCCCTGTCGCCCTGACTGGTCTTAGAAAGCGGGTGGCTGTCTGGGGCGGGCGGCGTCGCGATGCAGCATGGTCTATGGTGGATCTGGTGCCCCACCCCAGGGCCCAGGCGGACCCAGTTATTAATGATAGCTCAACCTCCAGGGTGGTTGAATGAATGGGGGAAGAGCGGGCCCACCAGGCTTGCCCATCGTGTGATAAATGTCCTCGGAGAATCTGGCTCAGAAAGGCACTGAGCATCCTGCCCCCGCCGTGCACCCCAGGGGGAGGGTTCTTACAAAAATACCATTTTCCTTTTTTGCCACGGGGGTGAATCGAGGCCATCTGATTTTCTTCCAGGGCGGTTTGCGTGGGAGATAGTTTGTCTCATGGGCTGTTTGCTTCCTGGTTTTTGGTGTGGTAAAATGAGATGACACTTCCAAAGAACCAGTAGTGAGAAGCGTGTCGGAAGACGCTGATTGGTTCAATTCCCTTTTCGTCCACTGCTGGGGGCATGGGGGTAACCTTTGAAGCCTGTGATAACCAGATGCAAACCAGTTTTCATGTCCTGAGTAAAATGCATCCAAGAGCTTCCATTTTGAGAAGAGAACTTTAGTTTTGAGGAGAGAACCTCAGTTTTGAGTTTTCAGTTGAGTCAAACTCAAGAGAAAAAGCTAGAGTTGGTTTCTATATTGAAGCAAGAGGCAACAAAATACTTCTCTCAAATGTTTCCGCCTCAACTTGATGATGATTATTGATATTAGAAACAATTATTAATATTTTGGGTTTAGAGGCCATATGAGGCAGCATTGGGAGCTACTCCTAGTTCTGTGCTTGGGGAACCATTCCATGCTAGGAATCACCCCTGGGCCTCCCATATGCAAGGCACATCCTCAGCTCTGGTTAATGTTTCTAAACTGTATACTGGTAGTGCACAGTTGACAGCTGCATGAGACAGAGATCTTGGGATGGGAACATGCCTTTCTAGATCAGCTTTCTGATTGCTGCCAAATTCCCGATAGGGAGGCTCTCTAAGCCTGCACAACTCAGAACTGCTCAAGCTCATTGCCTGCAAGGACACCTCACTTTTCCTTTGCCACCTGTCTCGAGTCGTTTATTGAAAGTGGAAAATGTTGGTTTCTTGCATATAGTGCTATTCTGAGAGAGTGCATGGAATGGTAATTCTTTCACCTTTTCCAAGGTCGCTCACCTGGTCCCTCATGTCATCTTTTCACTAGTCCCAGCATCTGCAATCCCCTAGCTGATCTTGTAGACACGGTTTCATGTTTTTCTGGCATCTCCTCTCCTTAGCTTGGGGCAGGGTCCCCTGCAGGTTATCGGTGAAGGAAACAGAGATGGTACAGCAGGAAAGGCACTTACTTTGCACACAGCTGACCCGGGTTTGATGCCCAGCTCTGCATATGTTCTCCCAAGCCCCACCAGGAGTGGCCCCGGAGTGCAGAGCCAGGAGAGAGCCCTGACCATCATGATCCCAAAACAGACAGAAAAAAAAAAAAAACCTCCAAAGATTTTGAATATAATTTAGTGAGAAACCAATTGTGTGTGTGTGTGGAAGGGTGGGGGGGCAGGGCAGGTTTGAGGGAACTCAGTAAGGCCAGAACAGACTGAGAGAAGTGGCCTCCCAGCTAAGCTGACTGGACAAGGACATCAAGGAAACACACTGAGTATCAGTACCAGGGAAGGGAGGCTGCCTGACTGGCGCTGAAATTACAGAGGGAAACAGAAACGTGGAGATAGAGGGAGATGAGAGAAACTTTCATGTTCTCTTTGGCCTTGAAGCTCTTGTTGGTGCTTTCCATTGGCTGGATTAAGTGAGAAGTTTCCAGAGCCAGAGAATCTGGATGATGCAGTTTGTTGGGTCAGCAAATTTAGGGATATAGGGCAGTGTGGAGCCTAGGACCCCCTTTCCAAGGGAGCTTCCCAGAAGTCAACACAGGGTCAGGCTTTCTATTTGAAAGGATCCAACAGGGCTGCTACCTCCTTTGTCTTGCATATCCTCTGTTAATCCACCTAGGGCTGCTTCTCTTTATTCTGCCAAAGATACTTTTTTATTTCTTTTGGAGGCGGGTGGGGTAGAAGGGTTGGTGTTGGTTGTGGCCAAGGCTTATTCCTGACTGTGCGTTCAGGGATCACTCCTGGCAATGCTTGGGAGATCATATGGTGTACTGGGGATCAAATCTGGGTCAGCTGTGTACAAGGTAAACACCCTATTCTCTGTACTACCCCGCTGACCCCTACTCAAAGACACTTTCGTGTTTGTTGCCCCCAAACCATTCCCTTCCCTATATTAGATTTACCCTATTGGATTTGATACCAGATGCAAGATCTTATTTTGACCCCCTTTAGCCCTGGTTCAAGCCAAACCAGAGAATGCGTAAAGAGGTGAAGTAAGAACATCCTGTTCCCAGTTCATGTTGCTTTCTGCTGCAGTTGGTAATTCTGATGCCTGTTAAAGGAGACAGTGGTGTTGTTCGGCTCCAAAAAGGCCTTGCTCTTGTTGAGCA